GGCGATTGTCTACTTCTCTTGTACGAAACCGTGCGATTGTGACTTTTCTTCTCTCAATATATTTATCTACATTCACATATAACGTACATTAAGATAGTAAAAATAAATTAATAAATGATCAAATCTTATACAAATTTTTAATCATGTCTTAAATTGAATATGCCTTACCCGCTCTTTGAACCACTTGGGAAACTCTTGTTGTTGTATACGGGTTATGCCTTGGTCAGATGGAGTCCGTAATAGATTTTTGTGTATCCTACTCCAAAGAATGTGATTATTATGCACTGCTAACTACATTAACAAAGCTAAGAATACACATATTTAAATGAAAAACATACTTTAGATACTTCTCTATCTCAGGGCTATTGTTCAACAAGAACCAATGAGCCATATCACGATATTCTTGTGACATATCAGCATCCTTGTGATTAGGCCAATAGGACGGGCAGTTTCTGTGAATACAGTTAACCCTTTGTGACGTTCGCCACGATCTTGATTTCGTTCGAGTCGATTATGCACTGTTTCGATCCCATCAACATACATTGAACAAAAAGTAACGCACTCTTTGACAATGTAAGACTCTGCGATTGAACCTTCTGGTCGAGCTCGGTTTGTAACAAACTTTTTTAAAGCTCCGAGAAACCTTGAAAAGAGAATTAGTTAAGAGCAAGGTTACACATGCAACATATAATTAGGAACCTTTCAATTTAACAATTACCTTTCAATCTGGTACATCCATCGATATTGCACCGGTCCTCCAAGAATAGCCTCACGCGGCAAGTGAACGGCCAAGTGAACCATCACATCAAAGAAGGCTGGAGGAAAGATCTTTTCAAGCTTGCATAATGTGTACTATACGTTCCTCTAATTTCTCAAGTTCATTATGGCGCAGTGTCTTTGAGCACAAATCCTGGAAAAAGCTACCTAACTCAAATAGTGTTTTACTAATCTCTTTGTCTACGTAACCACGCATCCCAATTGGAAGAATCCGTTGTATGAGTACATGGCAGTCATGACTTTTCAAGCCTGTTAATTTACCATTTCTCGCATTCACTGATCTTGATATGTTTGCAGCATAGCCATCCGGATACTTCACTGATTTCAAGAATTCAAAGAAACCCTCCCTCTCTTCAGGGGTCAATGAAAAGATTGCCCTAGGTTTGACATAAGTTCCATCAGGACGACGTGTTAACCACAACTCTTTCCTTATACCCATATCTTCCAAATCCATCCGTGCTTTGTCGGTGTCTTTGTTCTTTCCATCAATGCCTAACATAGTTCCAAAGGTATTTTCACTAAAATTCTTCTCAACGTGCATAACATCAATGTTGTGTCGAAGCTTTCGTTTCTTCCAGTATGGTAACTCATACAAGATGCTTACCTTTGTCCAATTTGGTGCCTGACGGAGTCTTTTCTTATTTCTTGGATGCTTCCCATATGTGACACCTGTCACTCTATCCAATTGCTCTAATATCTTTTCCACTGGTAACTTTAAAGATCTCTTTCGCTTCTCATGCTTACCATTGTAAGCCTTACTCTTTCTCCTTTCGAGGTGGTTTTGAGGCAAGTAGCATCGATGGTTAGTGTATGCAGTCTTACCTTTCAAGGATTGAAAATATGGTTCATCATTACAAGTGTAGCAAGAATAATGACCCTTTCTTCTCCACCCAGATATGTCACCAAATGCGGGCCAATCGTGAATAGTCCACATCAAAGCTGCACGCATCTGGAAAGACTCACCAGTTACGGCATCGTAAGATAATGCACCATTTTCCCACAACTCATTCAACTCATCCACCAGAGGTCTCATGTAGACATCAATATCGATCCCTGGTTGTGATTCTCCAGGAATAAGTAGTGACATCATAAGAAAGGGATCTTTCATAACCAACCAAGGTGGCAAGTTATAAGGAATGAGTACTACAGGCCATAAACTATACGAGTTGCTCATGTTCCCGAAAGGATTGAACCCATCAACAGCCAACCCTAGCCTCACATTTCGAGGCTCCAGGGCAAACTGAGGATGTTGCACATCAAATTCCTTCCATTCATCACTATCGGCAGGATGTCTCAATACTCCGTCATCTATACGTTTCTTCTTGTGCCATCTCATGTCCTCAGCAGTCTTTCTTGACATGTACAATCTTTTCAACCTTGGTGTTAATGGGAAGTACCGCAACACCTTATGGGGAATCTTCTTACCCCTGCCACGATTGATCTTGTATCTGGATGCCTTACATTTTGGACATTTATCTAACCATGCATTTTCCTTCCAAAAGAGTACACAATCATTTACACAAGCATCAATTAACTCATATGACAAGCCCAAATCTCGAAGTATTTTCTTAGCTTCATAAAATGACTTTGGAACCAAATTATCTTTTGGTGAAAGTTTTGTTAAAAACTCCAATAGTGTGTTAACCGACTTATTGCTCCAGTGGTTTGTTACCTTCATATTAAGCAGCTCGATGACAAACTTCAACAGAGTGTAGTTTGTGCAACCTAAGTACACCTCACGTTTGGCATCATTCAATAGTTTATCAAACGTTTGTACTTCCTCATTCTGGGGTGCATCGTTGGGTTCTCCTCTTATTCGATCTTCCACTAAGGCATCAATACCACCTAAAACCTCATCTTCATCAATTGCCATTTCATGATGAGCCTCATTTGATACACGTGGTTCCCCGTGCTCATGCCAAATAGTGTACGTTTGCATAATCTCATATTGAAGCAAATGAATTTGCACATTTCGAAGATTTTGGGAATAATAGTTCACACAGTTCAAACATGGGCACATAATTTTACCTTCCTGGTCAACAACTGCCATTGCAAATTTGATAAATGATGTCACCCCATCAATAAATGGCTGACTCATCCTTCCATCAAGTGTCTTACCCAATGCAATCCAACTCTTGTCCATGTCTGATCACAAATGAAAGATCAAGTTTTTTTTTAATTTGTTTATGTCATAAAACGCATCATGTGTACTATTAACCTATTCCATTTAGGAATGCACAATGTGTATCACACAAAGAAAATCATATGACGTTGTCTATCTCTAATCTTTCCTTAGTTCTCCAAGTATATAACATAGATTAAGATGGAAGTATTATGGGAAAGGATAGAGTAGAAAAAAAAATGGTTCCTGACAAGTTTACAACATTAGTACATTAAAAGGAATAAAAGAAAATTTGCTCATTTAGGAAACCAGTTATTTTTGAAGAAATAAAAAGAATCTTAGTTGATTGGACTGTTTATAGAGGCAATATTGATTATGGTGTGTAACTGTGGCTTCAGATTTCTCTAATAACGATATAATTGGAAAAGAAGATAATCAGGCACAATATTATTTGTTCTTCCTTTCATTTCTTCTATTTTCTTATTTTTATTGCCTTCGTTTTAAAGAGAAGGTGAACTTAGAGTTACTAATTCTTTCCTCTATCCATCCATTAAGTTTTTAGGAGAGATATTTGTACACACTACTTAACTTATCATGTAACAGCATCACACTTGATATGTTCTTTAGTAACTCTAAGTTCAAACCAAGCCATGGAATTATTTATCTTCACTTTGACTTGTACACTAACAACCACATGTTCTCTACCTTTTGTCGTCTTCCATGGTAATTTTCTAATTTTTCTCTATATTTTTTCATCATTTTTTATTTTGTAGTCATTAGCTAGCCACTTTGTCCTTTGTTAGTGCTCTACTCTCACTATGCTCAATTTGGTTCAATTAATTTACTGTTTGATGTTTAAGTGCTTTTACCAAGGTGGTTTGTGGAATGTAACAATTTGGTTGTTTTGGATTGTGGCTTTATGAAATTTTCTATACCCTTATTTGCTGTGCTAAAAGCTTAAATTTTTAGGACTATTAGCATTAATACGAACACATAAATTGCTTTCAAGTCACTACTTAATTCATGACCTGTTTGGTAATGTTGTGTGTTTAAGGTTGGCCAGTTGTTGTCAAATTTTGTCTTCCTTAAGTTGAGAAAGATGATAAGCTGAGAAAGAATGGATTGAGATGGTTTGGTCATATACAATGAAGACCAGTGGAGGCAGTAGTGAAGAGATGCAATACAGTGACGATAGATGGAAGTGTTAGGAGAAGGGGCAGACTTAGATTGATGTGGGCTAGTGTAGTAAATAGAAATATGAATCTTTATTTTTACTAATCAAATGGCCTTTGATAGAATTGAGTGGAGAAGGGGATTCATGTAGCTGACCCATTTGATGGAACCTAAGGCTTGGCTTGGTTTGGTTTGGTTTGGAAAGAGAAGAAAATAACAGAGTCACTGCAAGCTCTTCTTCTATTTACTCTTGAATGATTTGTTTACATCAATAACGCCCATATATATAGGGTGAATCGCTATCATTTTCCACAATTTTTATAATTCTAGACTAGCGATTGGAGATAAAATCAAGCCACAAATTATGCAACCATAAATCATGAGATTCTATCTTCAATGTGTTTTTATCTTCGACACTCACACACACAAACCCCCCACCCCCCACCCCAAGTTGGATCATGAAATTGTTGAAGTGTCAAACTTGAACTCGGAAATTAAATTATTGCCGGAAAATGGTTGTTTAAGTTTGCACAAAATGACACATTATGCAAATTCACCAAGTATGCAGCCATACTAAATTATTGGTAGTGCGACTTTGCTGAAAAATGCACGAAATGACACATCATGTAAAAATGGATCATGATAATGACACCCTATAGCGATCCCGGTATTCCCTGTTGTTGTTTAACTGTAATCCGGACTCGGTTCCGTAGATTCGTTGTTGTCTTATCCTCATTTCTATCCCTTACTCTTTGTGTTAGAGTTTTGGGCTGTGTCGGGCAAGTTGGGAATAAGTTGGTTGTGTTTTAAAGCTTTGAATTTTTGCCCAGGTTTTGGTCTCTCCGCTCGAGCGGGATTTTGTTGTTGCCTTTCCGCTCGAGCGTGATTTTCCTTCTCTCAGCATTTTGGACGTCTGCAGAAATTCTGGGAGAGTGCATCCGGCGCTCGAGCGGATCTTTGGACTCTCGAGCGTGAACCTGTGTCTGACGCTCGAGCGGGGTGTTGTACGCTCGAGCGGACCTGTTTTTATATCAGTCCGTGAAATCACCTTTTTGATCGCTTTTTGATTTCCTTTCTCTCTCTTACTTTTTCAAAACCTCCATTGGAGAGCACCTCACTCTAAAACCTAACTTCTCTCTTAGGATTGATCTAGCTAGAGTGTTTTCCTCACCTTGGGCCTTTGTAAGAAATGTGTTGATCGTCGAGGGCTTCGTTGTAATCAAAGAAATTTGGGATTTGGAGCACTTTGATTTCGGGTCATCTTCTCTATTTGAGTTCTCCATTTGAGGTAGTGATTCTCCTTGTTCTTTTTCAATACTCCGTCTATAGATAGACATGTGGTAATTTTTGTATTGCATGAAAATTGTATCATGTTGGATTTGTTTGAAAATCATGAAATAAACCTAGGGTTGGTTGTGTGGAGAATGGTGTTGGCTTCATTGATTGTTGTCTTGGCTAATTAAAATATAAATTAGCATGTTGTAGTTAAATGAAGAAAAGCCCTAAATTATATTTTGGTTGGGTAAATTAAAATGGGGGTTTGTTGACCATTGTGTGTAAATCTCTTTTGTCAAAATGAGTGTGGTAAGGGTGTTAATGCCTAAGGGATTAACCATGGCTTTGGAGTTGATTTTATGGAAACAAGATTAGTGGAATCGTTTTTGTGAAAATGAGAGAAGTGTTTTCGAAATAAGTTTGAGAATTGGATTGTTGTATCTTGAGTGTTGAACACACATGTAGAAGTTGTATCTTTAACTACCATGTTAATATTGTTGTTGGGTTTATGATTCATGATCAATCCTAAGAGAGAAGTTAGGTTTTAGAGTGAGGTGCTCTCCAATGGAGGTTTTGAAAAAGTAAGAGAGAGAAAGGAAATCAAAAAGTGAACAAAAAGGTCGGATCTCG